ACAATAGTTTCATTAGTTGAGTTCATGAACTAAAAATGAACAATACTTCCTATTTATTAGTTTATTAATCTCTTAGTTAATTTCAACATTTACTAATAGGAATTAAAATTTTTTATAAATGCACTGTAAACTAACATGAACAAACAAGGAAAAGCTGGATTTTTATCAACAAAGATTAATAAATACTGTAACAAATGTATTGCTCATTGTTGAGTTAATGCATTAACTAATGTTAATTAACTAATGTTTTCATTTCAGCTTTAGTTATTTTAGTAATTTTAGTTATCAAGAAGCTGGAAAAAAGTATTTTTTTTTATTATTTTTATTTTTTTATTTCAGTTAACATTTATTTTATATCAAGTACACATAGAATGTTTTTATGGATTTAGTTAATGAAAATAACCCTGTCTTGTAGTTAGTGATTTATATGAGGTGCAGTATGAGGACAGCCGAATGCAACACTCATTGGTGCTTGTTAAACATTTAATTGTAAAAACCATGCGTATTAACAAGGAGCTGTTTCACTTTTTGTTTTTATAAACATTTATGCTCGCACTGATGTTGGGCAAGAGCCTGGCATGCTGGGAGCTGAAATAGTGAGGACGTCCACATGCTTTTGGTCATGTGTCGTGTAAGTCTAGGCACCTACCTTTCTTGAATGCCATGAAAACGGTTGCCAATTATAATAATGTTTTGCAATGTCTGAGGGGTCCAGTTTCTCCACAGCAGGTTGTTATACAGAGCCTTCCCACAATGCATCAGGTAAAACAGAGTGGGTTGATAAACTGGGCGCTTTCCCTCCTGTAAGGAAAACGATGCTATAAACTGAGAGCAGAACAAAATTATACTGAAACTATGTGTGACACACACCTCATTTTCAGTCAGAACGGTGAAGCCGAGCTCTTTAAGAGCATCACACTCTGACTCAGAAAACACCGGATCATACACACTGCAACTGCTCACTGGAATCTGAGAAAGCATAAAACATTTAATTGCATTAAAAATACAATGCTTAATTGGACAAATCATATCATATAAATGAAAATTGAATACCTGGAGTGTCTCTAGAAGCAGTAACAACATTGCTAGCTGGTATCGGGCAGATACACAAGAAGCAAAGTTACCCAAACCATAACACACACAGTGCTGAAGAGACGCATCTCCGTCCAGAACATTGGAAAGAAGACGGTTGGACAGGAGATCTGGTGGTGGAGATGGTAATGTGAGCATTTATTTAAAAAATAGTACATTATTTTTATATTGATGTCCCGTAATGCAGTAGTTCAACATCACCTCTCCATTCCATCCAGACGTTTTCTCCTCTCAGTTCATTCCTGTGAAGGAGAAGAACATCAGCGACCTTGCAGCCAGTATGAATACAAATCTTATCATAATTGCATAGCATAAAAAAGTACTGGTATCAGATGGTAATATGATTGATTCCCAGATTAATGTAACATTACTTTCCTATTTACATGGAACTCCGAGGTATTTAAAAGAATACCATTGTGTTATAATGGTTGGTAACATGAGTAAAAGTGTCACTGCTTGGATTTGACATGGCAGATAAACTCTCACATGGCGTTTGTCATCTTCTGTTTGTCCAGTTTGCAGTCAGACACCTGGCGTGAGTCTAGTTTTGAGTTTGAAGGATGTTGTCCTCTTCTAGAAGCTCCTTTACGACGCCCTGCTACCTGCCATTCATCATTACAAGCCATAACAGCTAAAACCTCTTCTTTACCCAGAATAAGACAATTTACGGTAAGACAGCTCGAAATTCGTGATTAAACTAAGAGAGGATCAGTCGGCTTCCATATGACACATTTTGTATTTGAATAGTGTAAATGACTCTCTTATAAAATTATAGCAGCTGAGATGTTCACATAGATGTTCATAAGTAAACGTTACACAAGACAACCATGTGTTTTGTGTTACGATTTAATCCTTCCGGTCGGCCGTTGTTCCCAAATACAGTTCCTATGCTTTATGCAACATATTTTTAAAATGGCACTTTGTTAAGCTAATATTTTTTTTTCTTATCAAGAGGTAACGTTACATGCATATGATCTGTAGTATGTTGGTTTATTCGTGTGAATCTTTACACACACACACACGTCGTCCACTACTTTCCGGTCGAATTTTTTGTAACTTGTGGGTTAGTATTTATCTCCTTTGGAACGGTTTCATTTATATTATATTATATTATATTATATTATATTATATTATATTATATTATATTATATTATATTATATTACATTATATTATATTATATTATATTATATTATATTATATTATATTATATTATTAAACTCTATAAAATCCTAAATAAACTTGAGATCAGTATCGCTTGGTTAGCAGGACACTAGATGGCGCGCGCTCGCTTCTTTCCCGCTCGCAAGCACTGAGGTGAATCTGAGGAAAACGGATTATAGTTTTTATTCTCTAAATTTTCAATGTTTCCTGTCAGAATTTCGGCTGTATCTGAAAAATGAGAATAGGTCGTTTCGTGTCTAATCTTCTTGTGGTAAATAAGTTATTGAGCGAAGGAAAATAATATGAAGTGTATCATTGAAGGGAATGGCATTAAAGGTATGACACATTTTACTCGATATTTTCTACACTCTCCGCGTTTCATTTGTTTATAAATACCCCTGTTTAACGTTACTGTTTTTAGTATTTGGAAAAGCAGTTCATGCTCTGTCAAAAATTGGTGAAGAAATATGGTTGGATCCACTGGAGGAAGGGGTAGGCTCACACACACACACACACACACACACACACAGACATATTTGACGTCAGACAGGATTTAAGACACATTCTTGTGTGTAAACTTATTTTTAACTCTTAACTATAAGTTTCCAGTTGTTGGCATTAATTAACATTAACTAACAATGAAAATACTTATTTTCATTTAAGCCTAGATTACATTTACTAATCCAGGCATATCTGTTAATATTATTTATTGGACCACCTGAGCTAACATGAACTAACTCTGATCAGTAGTATTTTTATAACTAATTTTAACAACATTAATAAACACTGCAACAAATACACAAATCGTTGTTAGTTAACGTAATGCATTAACTAATGTTGAATACTGGGACCTAATTGTAAAGTGTTACTAACTTATTTTGTCTATCATTTTTAATTTTTCCTCTCTCTGTCTCTCTCTCCCCGATCTATAGTTGGCTGTAAGGACAGTCAACTCATCTCAATCGGCTTATGCCTGTTTCTACTTCACTCCTCTGTTCTTCCAGAAGTATATTCCAGATCCAGACACCCAGAAAGACGGTGATGCTGTAAAATGTAAACTAAACATAAAGGTACTAAACACTTGGAACCATAATTTGCATTTGAGTCTTGAACGTTTGGTCCATTTAAGTCTTGAAAGTCGTAATTGCGAGATATAAAGTTGCAATTCTGAGAAATAAAGTCACAATTGCGAAATATAAAGTCGCAATTCTGAGAAATAAAGTCGCAATTCTGAGATATAAAGTCGCAATTGCGAGATTTAAACTCACAATTCGGACTTTTTATCTCACAATTATGACTTTTTGTCACAATTATGAATTCATATCTTGCAATTGTGAGAAAAAAAGTTGGAATTGTGAGATGTAAACTCGCAATTATGAGAAAAAAGTTTGAGTTATGAGATAAAAAGTCGCAATTCTGTCTTTTTTTCTCGCAATTACAACTTTATTTCTCAGAATTGTGACTTTATATCTCGCAATTGTGACTTTATATCTCGCAATTGTGAGATAAAAAGTTGCTCTTTTGAGATAAAACGTTGCAATTATTGTTTTATTTGTATTATTCTGTGTTGGAAACAAGCTTCCATAACCCAGTGCCGTAACTCATAACCATCAGTATTATTCATGCACAGTATTTACTGGTTATTGTATGCTTTAAAAAAACATTTTCAGTGCGTTCTTCCCCTGTTCCGCTGCGTTGGGTGGAGAGAGCGAAGTATGGATAGATGTGAGATAACCATCAACATCCCAGACTGCAGGGTGATATTTCAGTTTCACTGCAGACACGGTTAGTTCATTTGCATGTGAAGTGTGTATTGAAGCTGGTAATGCATTGACAGAGGGATGAACAGATTGATGTTGGCGGTTGTAGTCACAGGGTGTCAGCACACTTCAACTGGACTCTCTTCTGTGATGGATGAGATGCTAGAAATCATTTCCATATTGCATAATTCATCACAACTTAACACATTTGTTCTAATCAAGATGTTGGCACTTCAATGTGTGTTTTAGGAATAACTAAGACTCATAATTTGGGATATCAGGAATGTGAAGCTTTGCAGGCTGTGTTCCCAGCTCACCTCTGTCCAAATGTCCTGAAGGCCCAGTCCAAGTAAACACACAAACACACACACACAATTCAGAATATTTTCTTTACAGTACACTTTACAGTACATTTGTTTACATGACCTACTACTAAAATCAAAAGTTGCATCTGTTAGTGTTATTTAATGCACCTTAGCTAACACGAACTAACAGTGAGATGTATTTTTATTTACTAACATTAGCAAATACTATAACAAATGTATTGCTCACTGTTAGTTAATGTTAGCTTATGCTTTAACAAGCACAATGGGACCTCATTGTAAATTGTTAACGTTTAATTTTTAGTAGGATAGTCTAAATCATAAGATGACTTCAAACCACTTTTGTTTCTGTGTCAGACTTTTAGGCGACATTGTGGTGCATTTCCCGACTTCACAAGAAGAGGTCACCCTTTCCATTTCCTCTTACAAAGTAGCATTGAAGACCTTTTATGAGGAAGAAAATGGTAAGGCTGTGTTTTTAATAGTATACTACCGTTAGCACTCTTACTATTCTTATTTTTTGTCTTTAGCTTTTAACTCATTGTGAGTTTCTGTCATGAGTGTGTGGTTTGTCCTTGTTTTTTCATTTTTTTTTATCATGTGTATTGTTCAGCACTTTGGTCAGCCATGTTTGCTGTTTTTAAATGTGCTTTAAACACAAACTTGAAACTTGCAGTATATAGCATACACATAGCATTCACAACAAATTAAATTAACCATTTTATGGATTACACTCACTAAAGTAAATGTGCAGTCACTGTGTTTTTCATTGCTTTACTTACTATCTAAATAGAAGGAAGTATTTTGTAAGCTAGTGTTACATTTGTATTTGCTGGAGAGGAAAGTAATTTACATAAATTCAGAAATGCATGCAACCTACATGTGTTTAGACTTAAGACTAGAGCTCAGATGTTAAACGTTGTGTTCCTGCATTAATTAGATTTTGTTTGTTTGATATTTTAGGTTGTATTAAAGGCATGAACACAGAGCTGATGCTGCACCCAGACGAGTTCGACTATTTTCAGGTTGGAGAGGATTCAGCCGTGACCTTTTGCCTAAAAGAACTGAGGGTGAGCGTCCAGTACAACATGTTTTACCACGTAAATACGCGGGATGTGTGTAGAGATGAGGTATTTGTGTCCACATGCCAGAATGTTTTATTTAATGTGTGAACTGATCAGTGCATGAGGATCTTTCCGTGTTGGTTTTTATTGCCACTTATTTCTGTCCTGCAGTGTAGTCGCTGTGTGATCATATTCACTCAGGCGAGTTCAGAGTAAGTGTGTCATGCATGTGAACTGAACGGACTCCAATGTACTTTTTAAGAGGAGCTATTATGACCTTTCTTCAAAGTCTTGATTTTGTTTTTGGGGTGAATATTTACATATGCTGGGTACACATCAAAAGATTGTTTACATCTTTATAAGATTTTCAAAATGTGATAGACCACAAACATCAGGACAAAAAATCCTAGATTAAACCGTTTTGCTCGTATAGTGTATGATGTGACACCACACACAAATAGATTTTCAACCAGAGTCTCGACTGTGAACACAGGAAATCTCGGGAGACTTCAGAATAAGCATGGCGGACGTTATGCAAGAAAAAATTGCGATGATAGTGTTTGGAATGATTTTCACTGAAAATTCACAGGGGAAAAAAAAGAAAAGGGTTTGGGTGAAGTCGTGGAGATGGCGGGAATGTAGTGAACTTTTCAGATAAAGGTTGTAGTAATGCACACACGCTGGCCCTGTCTCTCTCCTTTTTAAAATGTACCTTGGTTTTACTACAAATAAAAAATATAACATGGATATTGTAGTTAAACCAGCATGACCGCGTTTGTTATGCTTCCGTCTTCCATCATCTCGCTTTCTGATTGGATATTGTTTCGTTTCATTCATGTGATAATCTCCAAAGCGCACGCGTTTGTCTTCTTGATTCCCCCCATACATCAGGATTTCTGATCATAAATATTCAACATGTTGCGATCGGGGTGGCTCCGACGTTCTTCCGAGCAGGTTCAGACACTCTTAACACACCTCACACCAAGGGAATATCTGATAAGATAATCTGTACGACTATCAAGAAAATCGGGACATAGCTAGGATTGTCGGAAGGGGGGAAATCAGCCCAAAATCAGGCCGATTATCTTTTGGTGTGTACCCAATATTATGTGAATATTTTATTTACAACTCCTCTCTTCCTAGTTGCTCTGCTTAGTTCCTGTTTCTATGAAGCTCCTCCTTCCGAAAAGCTCAATGTGCTCTGATTGGTCTGCTGGATAAGTGTGTTGTGATTGTCAACCACTTCAAGTGTGTTTCTGAAATGTGTGTTCGCTCGCAACACTCGTTCAGTTGGTCACGAGACATACATTGCTTGAATAACAATTAAAAGAACATCCCCATCAGTTCTCTTAACTCAAATAAGCATGACAAAATTTGTGGCCGGCGGAAGTTTCCTTGGCCAGTTATATTGAAAATGTATGTTTTACAATTTAGCAATGATGTTATCCATTGCTAAATTATGGTTCATCATAGACTAGCTAAACATAAAGCTAGCTAATGCCACTATCATCAGTCTGTTCTGTTGTGACAATAAAAGAAACTTTTAGAAAGTTTCTTTTTAAAATGCATTATCATATTATTTTGGTTAAAACTCATAAATAACTACAAATAACTTATGTTAGGGAAATCTGTTAATGTTTTGTTGCGCCTTTCTGAAATAAAAAAATAAAATAAAAATATCGGCCGATATATCGGCATATCGGATTTTAAAACCAAAAAATATTTGTATCGGTATCGGCCTTCAAAATCCTTTATCGGTCGGGCTCTAGTTTCAACACACTACTAATGCAACTCAACCAGGCCCCACCCCTTTATTTTGTATGAATTATTTAATTGAGAATTATTGTGACATGTAAATGGTGAAGAAGGAGCTGAGCCACAAGGCGAAGCACTCGATTTACCGGTCAATCTACATTCCTACTCTCACCTATGGTCATGAGCTGTGGGTCATGAACGAAAGGACAAGATCCCAATATACAGGCGGCCGAAATGAGCTTTCTCCGCAGGGTGGCTTGGCGATCCCTTAGAGATAAGGTGAGAAGCTCGGTCACTCGGGAGGAGCTCAGAGTAGAGCCGCTGCTCCTCCACATCGAGAGGGGTCAGCTGAGGTGACTCGGGCATCTGTTCCGGACGCCTTCCCGGGAAAGTGTTCTGGGCGCGTCCTACCGGGAGGAGACCCCGGGGAAGTCCTAGGACACGCTGGAGGGACTATGTCTCCCGGCTGGCCTGGGAACGCCTCGGTGTCCCCCCAGAAGAGCTGGAGGAAGTGTCTAGGGAGAGGGGAGTCTGGGCGTCTCTGCTTAGACTGCCCCCGCGACACGGCCCCGCATAAGCGGAGGAAGATGGATGGATGGATGTGAGTGAGTGAGTGACATGTTCGTTCCCGGGAGAAAACTCAAGACTACAATGGAGCTGTTTCAGGGAGTTCAGTTAATATAGAGAAAATTATAGAGATTATAGAGATTATATTATAGAGAAAACTTTATGCTTTGTAACGTTGCAGGCCTTTTTCATGCACAAACAGCAGCATTACACTCTAAAGAAAGTTGAAGCATAATAAGACCCCTTTACTTGCATCCAGGTGTGCTATTTTATTAATGTTGTGAAAATCTGCATTAATCAGCAATATTACTTTTGTCAAAAAAAAAAAAAAGATCAGTTGAATAGTTGGATTACACACTTCCAAAAAATACCAAACGTTTAAAAAACAAACAAACATGCTCGATTTATTCAAGATAAACTATAAACACAAGTTAATTTTGTATTCTCTGCTCAACCTTTGACCCTGATTTCCAGGGAGATCTCGTGGCACTGGATTATGCCCTGCAAGTACCAACCTTTTTAGACGTACGCGCTTTGGCTGTTTGTCAGTGGCGTAACTTCTTGGCAGGCCACAGTGTATTTGTGTCAGGCATTGATGCAGTGGGACAGATGCTTGGATTCTAACCAGATAACCTGTCACAATGAGTTACAGCACTGGGCAGCACACTGTGGCCTGGACACACATGACTGACCTTCTCCTCATGCGGTCTTAAACAGGGTCAAATACATTGGTTTGGATCAGTGTGTCCCTGTGTATTAAACACTGTATAAATCTGTTTGGGCAGGTCTTAATTCTTCAGGATTTTGCAATAATTACATTATTGTTTAAATTATGTATATATGCAATATTTAAACAATAATGTATTATTATTAATTATTAAAATTATAATAAATATATATATATATATTTATATATATATATATATATATTAAAATTTAATTTTATATATTATATATATATATAAATTTAAAGATCATCAAAGACCAGACCACCCTGCAAAATTCTGAAGAATTAAGATCTACCAAAAAAACATTTGTACCGTTTAAGACAATTTATATATATATATATATATATATATATATATGATTGTAATGTAAATATATATATGAATATTTATAAAAATAATAAAATGTAAAAAATTATTTATTGTTAAATTGCTTTTAGGGGCTGCTGTCCTTTGCTGAGTCTTATGGTCTACCAATATCTTGTCAGTTTGGTATTCCTGGACAGTAAGTCTTTTATTTTGTTTTCAATCCCAAACCCACATATATTAATGCTATAACTATAGCTGTTAGTTGAATGATTGTGAACTCTTACAGGCCTGTATCCTTCACTGTAAAAGACATGACGCTGGAGGCCCATGTTGTGCTGTCCACCTTAACGGATCCAAACTACGAAAGTCCATCTCAACCTGCACCTGGGTATTTCATTTTAACCCTCATGTTCACATGCATATACTGTACATATGTTCACAACTGACTTTGTATTTTCATGATGGGTAGATGTTCTTAAAGCCTAGTTCACACTACATGATTTTAAGCCCAATTTGCAAATCGTTGAGCTCGCCGACAGGTCAGGGTGGTATCGCGTGCAAATCGCGGGGGATTAGCGGGCGATGAACGTTCACCAATCTGTTAGTATGAAAGAGCCAACAACGCATCAAAGATGCTCGCAGATGCGTCGCCGAGCCCATAAAAATATCTAGCATGCTAGATATCCAGAGCTGTCGCGCGACTCAACCTCAGTGATGTCATGAGCTCCAGCCAATCAGAGCAAGGCATGGGTTGAGGTCACCGGGTAAATCTTATTTTTTCTTTTTTTTTTTGTTGCATTTTTTCTCAGAGCAAATCATTGCGCAAACAGTTTGCAGCTCTAGTTTCTGTCTGACGTCCATATTCGCGTGTTGTGTTCTTTGTCTTCTCCGCTGGGTATTGACGTGCTGTTTCGTGTCATTTACGGTTCGTTTTATCACGTGATTTTTCGTGAGAAAGCGTGTTTTGTAGTCAAGATGGAATCATTGGGTGACAGAGTTGTTGTCAACTCGTGTAGTGCGTTACCTCCTGTTGCGGATCAATCACGTTGTGTGTGAACAGCTCAACAACTTGAACACTCCTGATTTCACAAGCAAGTCATGTAGTGTAAACCGCACAGTTCAGCCTGACGTTTTAAAATCATGTAGTGTGAACTGAACATTTTTTTCTGAAAAAATCATTAAATTCTGAAACCGAATATAAATTTGGTTTTAAGAAGACCCTGGCCCTCCCAAATAGACAGAAAAGTCCACCCTGTAACCTTGTTTCATAGTCTCTTTCCTATAATTTCAAATTATAGGTGCAATGCAAATGCAAAACCACTGTGAGTTCAGTGTTCAAGAGTTTAGTGACGGCTTTAGTTCTCTAGTTTACCTCGGCTTACATATATAGGGTAAACCAGAGCTAGAGCTGTGACTTCTCTGTCTAATCTATCACTGTAAGTCCTTCAGTCTGGGCTGTGATGTCACCGAATCTGCACCGCCTCCTCGTAGAGTTTGTGTTTTTATCAGTGTCAGTGGTTCTGTGTGTTAGTCTCAAGCTTAAACAAACGTTTGGGTCACCTGTTGCGTCCACCTTACGTCACCGCTGACTGTTTATCCTGCCAACGCGCAATCATTCATGCTAGTGAAAGCTAAAATGAATAACTAGTCTTGATTTTTTTATCTCTTGATTTTAAAAGGGCAAAAGGTTTATTTGCATTTGTTAGCTGTTTAGTGTAAAGACAAAGTCTACCATCCAACAACAAGGCCATTTATGTTGATTCTTGTTTGGATGAAAATGATTGTTAATTATTTGAACGCTAAAAAATATGTGTACTACAAATAAATATAAAATAATTATAATGATAGTAGATGCTTTAATTAAAACTAATGCAATTTACAAATGAGGAAAAACAAGGAACTGATCATAATGAGATGATTTTTAAAGAAACAGTTCATCCGAATTTATTAATTTCTTCCATGGCCACACTTTAACATATAATAGGATTGAATAAGGAAACTTTTAAGCTCAAAATGACACCATAAATAGTTGAATGGGTGCAGACAGCAGAGAGAAAGAAACTCATACAATTTTGAAAACGAAAAGTAAAAAAAAAAAAGGCAAAATTTTCATTTTGATTAAATTAAACAATTTTACTAAACAGTGTCCTCATAGTGGAGTAGATAAACAGATCCTCCTGAGTAAGTTGAAACAGTTGTTGCAGTTTCTCTCGCATGCAATGTGTCTTTTGTCCCGTGGGCCTTAGTTCTGGGACAGAGACACATCTGAACATAGTATAGCCCTGCCCACCGGGGAGCAATTCACATATTCAGAGACATGCATTCATCTTTCCTTCACACACCCTCCCCCAATGTCACTGTGCGATCCGTCCCCTTCTCTCTGTTGCCTCTACTGTCCCTCACACATTCCTGCACGTGTTTCGTTACCCATAGCACTTACATCACTCAGGCTGTGCTGCAAACTGTTTACTTACGGGCACACATAAAAAAGTTATATATTATAAAGATGTTTTATTTTACAAATTCTTTGATTGCAAGAGGGTCTTGCCCTTCAACCAAGTTAACAAACATCAACAAACTTCAGAGAGTCAATTTGATATGCTTTACACCACATTAATTTATATAATAATAATTTAAATTTTTATAATTTTAATTTCGGTCAGCTTCAAAAAGAAATTTACAAACAAACATAGAAACAAAAGTGAAAATACAATATAAACAATAATAAAAACATAAAGAAAAGAAAAGATGCTTGACCGAAAAGGTGTCGGCTGAAGCTTAGGCTTATTGCGCCGATCCTTTTTACATTTTATTTATATAACACACAGTACCGTACAGTAAGTCATTTTGTGAAAATAATAACTAAAAGAAAGGAAAGCTAAACTTATTCAGCTTTGTATAATGTAATCTTTTTTTTATATATATACAATTTCTTAAAGCTGCCTATAGATTTACATGTTTTCAGTTCATCATCGAGACTATTCCACATTTTAACCCCCTTAACAGACAGACATCTCTGTTTAACATTTGTTCTAATCTGTGGTTTATTGAACATGAGTGTTCCTCTGAGTTCATAAGGAGTAGATTTCATTTGAAACAGGTTCTGGACACAGTCTGGAAAATGATAATTTATTATTTTAAACATTATTTTGGCTATTTTAAATTCTACTAAATCATTAAATTTTAGTAGGTCACGCTCCAGAGCTGGTGGGGGCAGCAGAGAGTCTGATTTTGTTGAACTGTTTGTTTAGAAATAATGAAAAGAAATACAAAACAACATGCACGTTTTAATGATTGAAACATGCTGAGTTCTGGTTCAAAATTGTCATGAACCATATCAAATTGTTTACTCGGATGTATGTCATTGCTTACATTGCATGAAACTGCGACGGGCTGAACTGGAACGGCCTAAGGCCTTGATCACTTGGAATCAGCTATGGAGTTGATTTGTTATTTTAAAAAGATGTGTTTGGGTTGTTTTAAATAAAAAAAAATCATAATTATTAATATATCATAGAGTTGTTTGTGGTGGTGATTATATGTGTACATATTTAAATTTATTTACAATTATTCATGTAGGAGACGCTTTTATCCAAAGCAAATGAGAACAATAGAAGCTGTTAAACTAAAAGTAGGACAACAATATGCAAGTGCTATGACCACTCTCAATTTAATCTAACGCAGTGCATGTAACTTATTTTTATTTTTTTATAAACAAACCAAAGTTTTCTTGTAATGAAAAGCCACGCTAAAATCTAATCTGAAAATTAAACACTCACAGACTGATGTTCTCTCCTGTTGTTCTACTGCTTCTTCTAACAAGTACTCAGAGATGTATAAAGTACTAGAAACCCGGACTTGAGTAAAAGTACAAGTGCTCTATCAAAAAAGTGACTTGAGTAGAAGTTGAAGTGCTCTTTAAGCACCACACTTAAGTAGAAGTACTAAAGTATTCAACATTTTTTCTACTTAAGTATTGCAAGTAGTTTATTTTAAAATTCACTACTTAAGTACTAAAAGTAAAAGTACATATATTGTGTCATGTAATTATTAAAGAAAGCAGTCAAAAGTTTGAACTAGCAATCAAATAAGGCGCTTTAGTGGGATACAAATTTGCTTTGGCGGCCGCCAAAAAAATGTCATTGCAAGAAAACCCCTGAATTAGTTGTCAATGTCTTTGTCAGTCAATACCATTACCCTATAAAACTGGCGTGTGATTTAGGCAGCATGAAAGGCAACTTGCAATGAATGATTCGGAAAATTTTTATAATTGTAACGAGTAACTAGCAGAACATTAAAAAAATAACGAAGTAAAAGTATTAAATTCATCGAAAATATCTACTGAAATAAAAGTAGAAGTATGAGAAAAAAATAATACTCTAGTAGAGGACAGATACAGCATTTGAGTACTTAAGTACAGTACTTAAGTAGTTCTACTTCGTTACTATACATCTCTGCAAGTACTTGCACATATGAACTAGACTCGCTCCCTCGGTCCAAATCGAGTGAGTGAGGGTCTGTCCACATAAACTTCCCTCGTCCACTTCACGAAGTGGAACGCACTTCAAAATGGTGGCAGGGATTCCCCCAAAGGGGAGTGCTTAGGAAAGTTTGCAAGTGCGTGTCTAAAAGTGGACTGGAACGCAGCAATAGTTTCAGCAACAATCAGTCTGTTTCAGTGGCTATATATATATATATATATATATATATAAATTAACTAAATTAATACCTTTTTAACAACAAAAATGAAACATCACTGACCTTACTTAAGCTGGACTGTGATGGTATTTTCTTCTAGAAACAAACTTTGTTGCATTATTTTCCTATTTTCTCTGCAAAGCTGCTTTGAAACTATCTGTATTGGAAAAGCACTATATAAATAAATGTGACTTGACTTGACTTGAATTGTGTGTTCTAGGGATGACTGTCCAGTTACACTCCCAAAGACCTCCACAGCTGAAGTCTCCACAAGTGAAGACCCCATGGAGGCAGAGATGTGCATCGCTGAAGTCTACACAAGTGAAGGCCCCATGGAAGCAGAAGTGAGCATTGCTGATGGAGAACGTGTGGCCTCCAGCCAGGGCAGTGAAGTGTTCAATCCAGCCCTTCATATGAAGAAGATGATTCAGCTTCATGCATCTGGAGAGATCCTGCCAAGACCCATGTTTGTGCCTGAATCGGCCTTGACTACACCAATAACACCAGCTACATTTAAGGTTAGACACAAACAATAAATTTCATTGTGGCATTATCAGATTAATAGCCTAAATACTAATGCACTACCAGTCAAAAGTATTGGATTATTCCACATGTTCAAATAATAGCAAAATCTTCAAAAATGTGTTGCACAAATGGAAGTATGAAAATTATGTAGTGAGTGACCAACAAAAAACTCATCAATATTTTTTTTTTTACATTTAGAGTTTTGTCATATGTGTCCTATTTGATGCATTAGGCTTTTATGGCTCATATAGTCTAATACATTGAGAATATGGAGCTTAGACTTGAGCAACAAAAAACACGTCAGTTTCCCAAACTGAGAAAAATATAAAATTTGGTGCAATTGCTTATATTTATACGGCCAAAACATAAAATGAAATTCTGATGCTTATAATGTATATCAGTGAGATCTTTATAACAGTATAGCAGACTACTTACATAAATGCATATAAATATCAGTCATCACTCTATATCTGCCAATAATAAGTCTTCATAAGATGATATTTAAATGATTAGTTTTATGATCAAAGCTCTAGTTTTTTTTATAGGCAAAACACACATGAATGAATTAAATATGAACGAATAAACCTGGTGGATCAGATTTGATACTCGCATTTTAACACAAATTTTCTACAAAAAATGATGTATGGGTAACGGAAGTAAAGCGAAAGTGCTCATCTTGAAATATGTGACCGTGGATCACAAAATACAAGCAAAATTTGTGGCAATAGCCAACAAAACATTGAATCGGTCAAAATTAACGATTTTTTCTTATAAAATTATCGAAATTATTTGGATATTAAGTAAAGATCACTTTCCATAAAGATATGTAAATTTCCTACCGTAAATATATAAAATATTTATTTTTGTGAATGAATGCGGCACACCGTGAACATAAATGAACAACTTTAATGGCGATTTTCTCAATGTTTAGATTTTTTTTTTGCACCCTCAGATTTCCAGTTTTCAGATAATAATATCTCAGCCAAATATTCTGCTGTCCTAACAAACCATACATCAATGGAGATATCAGATATATGTATATCACATGATGTATAAATCTAAATCTGAAAATTACTCATGTGAACCATAAGCTGAAGTTTTTTGTTTTTTTTTAACATCTATTATAAAAGGTTTTTACTTGGTAAAAGAGTATAATCAGATTACAGAAGGCATATAGAAGATTATGTACTGCAATTTTTAACGCAACATTTTGATAATTTAGAGAAATAAGGTATTTGGCTTTATAGGGTAAATTCGTCAAGAATTAAATGTTTTTAAAACACATTTGCCCGCAAAACTAATTTCAGGTAAAAAGTAGAAGCATTTAGATCAAACGGTTTCAGTAAGATGTCAAAATTCTTTCTAGGTTCAATATTTTTTTTTACATGCATGTAACAGGGATACAAAGCACCAATTTTGTAAAATGACCAAGCTACTGTCACGGTGTGGCTCTGGCTGAAGGACGAGGAGACCGGAGTATCGGTAGAGAACAGGTTTTTAATAAATATAAACAGGCAGGAAGACAGGAATAAGGCAACCACACAGGTTCACAATAAACACAATAGACCGACAAGACTGAATGAAACTGAACAGAACTAAATACACAGAGGAATCAGGCTAAGTGGGGTGAACACAGGTGAAAATGATAATGACAGGACGAGGAACAGGTGGCTGATTGGGGAGTGAGTCCGGGAGAGGAACAAAAGGATCCGGGGAAGTGTAGTGCAGATGACGGGACAAACAGGTGAAGACGACAGACTGTGACAGCTACATTTAGGTCAAAATTTTTCCTCAGATGTTTGCATTTTTAACTTGAGGGTCTCATTCTAGATGCGCTCCCTGCTCTTCGGGGCTGTACTGAGTGACGGAGGGGACGGTAACACTGCAGATTTGCCCAGCCTGGTTTGTGGCAGTGACACAGAGGAGGACGGAGGATCAGAGGAGAGACAGGTAGCACCTTCAGATAATCTGAAGCAGAGAATGCATGGACGTTACTGCAGGATGTAGCCTACATAAACTCAGTCTATTACAAAGACAAAACAGCATATGGATTGATTCAAAGTTTAATATTAATTTGGAAGAGCTACAGCAGTGAAGGCCTTTTAATCCTCATTAGTACACAACTTTTATTATTTTATTAATGTGGTTAAAACTAAAGTTGTATGTTTCTGTTCTGACATGAACATCTTTGTAATGTTTTATACATACTGTGTGTGTTCAAACTGTTCTTGGAGAGATAAAAAGAAAATGGTGTGACAACAGTAAAGTTTGAGAGAAGCAGAGAGGCCAAGTGGGGCAAGATTCACTTTTTGTTGCTGAGGAATGTCTACCTACATAAACACACAGTTCAGATGAGTTCAATCACTGTGGAGAAGATAAATGAAAACTTCAAAACAAACACATTCACACGGACTGAAGGACTGTGTTCTTTGTGTCCACCAATGAGTCAGAGGAAGATTTGACTCACTGCTTTAAAATGCTGCTCGAGAAGCCATTATTATATAAGCCTGCAGCTATTACTGGTATTGCAAACATACCTCGAGTCGCCACATTGCCTTGTTTCTCGCTCAACTGTTGAATTGAAAAAACATGTTAGGTACTTTTTTTTAAAGTTGGACAGCCGTGCAAAACAGAATAACTTAATTTTGCTCCCCATGAAGAGGCATTTTGTCATTTGAGCTCCTAATGTGACAGTCCAATCGATCGCGATTACATTAGTTCATGCTCATGACGTCAGCGTCACGACCATTACTACTGGTTTTGTTGACTGCTGACAAATGCAATCTCCAAACACTTATTGGTGATGTAACTTGAGCGGTGTTTCAGACTCTCGTGTGATTTACATCTAAATTGAGCACTAAATGAAGGAAAACTTGCAGTTACATGCATAGAAATGGAAGCCTTAAAGCTGAAGAGAGTCATTTTGTCTTTCATTTCTCTTCAGGGGCCGGTTTTACAAAGCCATTTTAGACTGGTCTATAGTGTTAGACAAGACTAAAATTTGCTCATAGACTTTTTAGATTTTACAAAAATAAAGACTGACTTAATTTAGACCGAAAAAATTAGATAGCTTACCCCCAGGCTAACTTAGGTCTAAGACTGTTAACTTGGCGACCCACAGTGACAATCAGTTACTTTTACAAACAGCCGAAAGATAAGGGAAAATTGCCCTTTCCAAATTAAACATTTCTTCTTGTTACTACATTTTCCGCTAAATTTCCCCAAGTAAAACGTCCTTGTAACTGTTAAACTCCAAATCACACACATCTCCCACTGGGGTAAACTGCACTGAGCAGATGATTGCGCTTACTCGATCCACCATGTTTTTTGTTTTGAAAAGTCTCGTTTTACCCAGAATGCATTGCAGTGTATTCCTACATTTAGATATTCAGAGTCTTAAGCACTTTGGCCAATGGTCTGACTACTATATCTAAGCCATAATCAAAGTCTATCTTTGTGAAACCGGCCCCAGGAAGACAATCTACCAATGGTTCCCATGTAGCAGACTTATTGAACATTCAATAAAATTAGACATAAAAAAATTAGACACAAGAGAAAAGTGACAGCTTCTTTCTGCAGGCGGCCTTGAAGACTCATCCGATGATGTAATCCAGTTAATTCATCAGGGTGCAAATGGCTTGTGTGATTAGAATAGCTCCATAGATGAAACGCGTATCGCCATTTGTGTGGGAAGACGACATCGGCCTCCTGCAGTGTAACATGCTATGCTTCATCTAAGACTATTATATCCTTGCTTAATTATTATACAAGCTGCTTTTATGAATAGCTCATATTGAATGAGATTACATGGAGTATTTGCTCTTTAAATATTTGTCACACAATTGGTCATCCAACACACCGTAATACCTACAAATACTATACTGCAAATAAAGCTAAAATGACAAATGTAAAAAAACCCAACCAGCTCTGAACTGATATGAATCATATTTGAAAATTAGAGAAAAATACAAGACTTAATTTGTCACGTCTTAATATAATCACAAATATGTATGTATGTATATAACACTATTTTGTTGTAAAGTTCAGATATAAATGTCTATATTGCAGGGAGACTTAGTTAATTATACAATATATAACTGCATTGCTTCATGGGAAATGAAAAACAGCGACGTACATAAGTTATAAAAATATAACTTTATTAGATCATGTGATCATACCCACTGAAAGCATTCACAGATGCTAGCATTAGCTTTGTGCGTAAACACCTCAAGGGATATTTTAAAATTCAATTTTACAAAAAAAAAGTTTAACAGAATCCACACAATTATCAAATATATTCTTTTATACATCTGATGTGTAATAACTACACTTTCCAAATGCATACATGTCATACATAAATATACAGCCAGGTTTCCAAATATCTACAGCTCGTAAACGTTCCTCTCACATACACGTCACATGCATGTGAACCTCTTAAAAGTGGTTTAAGTGGGACTGCTTTTTTCCTCTCAACACATCCCACAATCCCTTGCAGTCGGATTAAAAAAACTCAATAGTGGAGTAATACGGTTTTAAATTAATAAATAGGAAGTGAAAGGTTTCTGTCTCCCCAAGAACTGTAATTTGCCCTGTACATTAAATTGCTTACACAAACGCGCGTCCTACACTTTATTTTATGTAATGAGAACTTGTCTTGAGAACAGTGTCTTTCATAAGTTGAGATCTCAGAAGAAAGGCATTTCTATTGTCGATCATTAACTTAGACAGTATTTTGATGAGGTTAAGCGTCATAATCAATCTAGTATCTTAAAGTAATGCAACGACACTGACCACAAACTGTCAATTTGCTAGTGAAGAGTTTGTAGTAGTCACTGATGCTTAATAACCTCACATCTCAGCTAGCGTCTGTCCAGAGGATACAGATTGGGTATCTTTTAAAATAGAAAGTAAACGTGACAGCTCAAGACTCGTGTAACTTGAGGGCATCTTCCTTAGGCGTTTGCAAAGTCAAAGAATCCCATGGCACATCGCTACCATCTTAATGCTTCTTCTTAGTATGGAAACTTTCTCTTTTTTTTTTTAGACGCTTGTCCCTAATCAAATTATTTCTTTCTTCTTTGCTTTTCCCTCATTCTTTCTTCATTTTTACCTTCTAAAGCCTCTCAACCACATCATTACCACCTACTTGTTCATAACTGGACGGCAGAAACACTGCTGATTCTTTCAGATGTACTAGAAAAGTGCTTGCAATTTAGCAGTGGCTTTAGCAACTTTCACTTGGGCCTGCAGGCGACATCATTAGAAGTACAGTCTAGAAAGGTTGAAGAACCCAGGGAACAGATGTGGCCAGCCAGAAACAAAACTCAAACAGCCCTCAATCCTGCCAGCAGGAAACAGCTGCCAGTCCAGTGACTGAGAGGAAGACAACAAGAGAAGCATTTTGCAGCTCTTGCTAACATTAGTCTGTGTACTCCGCTACAATTGACAGCAGAACAGTGATGTCATCTGGCTTCCCTCCTTTGGAAAGAAGAGAAAGAGGGAATGTTGTCAGGCAAATGCCAACACTAGATATTTACTCGACATCTACAATGTTCACATGTGCCAGTTAGGAAAATAAAAATTAGGGGTATAACAATATATCGTGCCACAATATATCGCAATAGAAAAATGCAACAATACGTATCGTGGATAGTCCCCCCAAAATAAAAAAAATGAATGCTTTCAGAGTTTTAATGCAAGTACTACATTACAAACTACTATATTTAATGTTGATTATAATGTATAATAATGCATAGGGGGAATATTTGTGTGATAATGCAAAATGTGTTATGTTACCAGTAAAAAGTGGCCAACATTATTTTAAAATATCTAGTAGTCAGTGAAAGCGTGCAAGCATCTACAAAAATTAGCTTCAGAATTATTCATTTAAACCTACAATGTAATATTAAAGTTAGCATTTTAATCAACTGTACATTTTTTTGTTAACCTTTTACCATATGTCTTGAAGTATCACATTGTCAGTTCAGAATCGTGATATGTATCGAATCGTGACATGAGGGTATCGTTACACCGCTAATAAAAAATGCATCAATCTGATAATGGGTAACACTTTACAATAAGGTCTCATTAGTCAATGTTAGTTTGCTAACAATGAGCAATACATTTGTTACACTATTTTGAATATTTGTTAAATGTTAGTTAATACAAACACAATGGTTCATTGTTAGCTCATGTTAGCACAAATCTATTAAATAATATTAACAGATGCAACTTTTGATTTTAATAATGTCTTAGTAAATAGTATAATGAACATTAACCAAGATTAATAAACTTTAAGTACTTTTTAAATGTTAGTTCATGTTAACAAATGGAACCTTATTGTAAAGTGTTACCTGATAATGAATTTAATGCATTGATTAGGGATTAAAAAGATGACCATATTATTACCTAATTTAATTATTTTGCATCCATTTCTCTTACAAAATGCAATTCTTGACCTATTTTTAGTGGAAAAATCCAACTAACAATGATCATACATCAACTATCTGACCAGTTATACTTTTAAATGTTTGCTTTTATCCAAAGCATATTTTAAGCACTTAAGTGCATTTTCTACTTCAGACATTTGTCATCAAAATTTTGAGAATAATCAAAATAATATGTCTTAATATGTATATACAGTGTTCATTTTCATTTCTGTTTTAGTTATTTTAGAATACTAAATTAAAATTAAAAATGTTGCTTTGGCAACTAGCTGAAATATATATTTTTAATACTTTTATTTTATTTCAAGTAACAAAACTGTTTGTTTTTTTTAAGTAACAAATGGTTTTTGTTTTATGTAACTATAATAAACCCAAACATAATTGTGACAAGTTCAAATTTTATAGTGCATTGAACTGGTAAAATGTCCACCTTTTTTAAATGCATAAATTTAAATAAAGAATCAATTTAATTATCGAATTAAGACTTAATAGTAATTGATTTCAGAGCAAGTGTATACACTTTAGCATGACAATTATCTCAGAAAATTGTAAAGAGAAAGTAAATCAGGAAAAGTAAAAATTGCAGCTTGTTCAAAAGAAATCAAATAATTTAGTCATTTTTAAAAGAGTATCTCTCACCTCTGACATTTAAGCCATTATCGCAGGCAAACTGTGCAAAAGGAGACATGTAATTGGGGTCGTATGCTAAAACATGGGCCTGTTCAGCAATACTTTTGGCTGTTTGCTGGATGCTTTCATAGTTGGTATTCTGAAAGCAGAGCACACAATTCGTATTAGTGTCATCGGAAGACAGAAAAATGGACAGAGTGAAGTGTTGTACGTAGATGTTTCCGGTACCTTGAGTTTTTTAAGTTCATGTAAAATCATGTAGTCTGGCATGTTGTCAAAGAGACCATCTGTAGCTGTGAGTATAATGTCTCCCAACTGGACATCGAAGGATGAGCTATCAGCTGCATCAGGGCTGTGGGACACAAGAGGACACAAAATTGTCAAAAGTTTAGTTGTGAAATTTGATATTCCCATTCTGAAGGTTGACATATTTGAAAGAAATTCACTTCTCACAATGTATCTCAATGTCTTTAGGTCACCTCAACAATCCATCATTCAAAACCAACTAACTGCACATTCTGTGCCGTCCCAAATGTGTTTGCAGCTCTAATATAAAGTAAGCGCTGACCATATTTAGAAGCACAGTTGAAAAGAATAAAAGCAGTTTCAGTCTAAGAAGCTTTCAGCTTGATCCTCATTACAGTATAAAGCAGGCAGAACATACAGATCAGCTGTGAAGTGTCGTGTTCTGTTCCAGGAAGTCAGTAGCAGGCATTATGCCCACTGATACGAATACACTGGCTGTCACTCCCTCCGTCTGTGCCGTGTCACGGGTCACGAGGTTTAAACATGATACTTAGTTTGAATAAATTCAGAGAATTAAAAAGTGGAAACGAGACCTTCAAACTGAAGAATATCTGGCCTCAGAGAACCACTTCTACTAGCTCATCCATCAAAGAGAAACCAGCTAATATCAGGGTTTACTGACGCCATGCGACGTTTGGCAGCCAAGTCATGTGTCTGGAAAGATTAAAATTAACTGGATGTAGCTCAGAGCAGAAACAGCCTAACACCACTGCTTAACCATGATAAATTCACTGTAAATCACTGAAGTAGGGTCATGTTTACTAGACAGAGTGGGAGGTCCAAGTCATAATGGAGAAAGACCTGGCAACCTACTCTGAAAAAATAATCGTAAAAAGCATTCTCCACTTTTTTTGGAAATACGCTCATTTTACAACTCTCCCTGTTGAGTTTTACCTTTTTTGAATCCATTCAGCTGATCTCCGGTTCTGGCGGTACCACTTTTAGCATAGCTTAGCATACATCATTGAAGTGCACAAGACCATTAGCATTTCTCCCAAAAAAATTACCAAGTGTTTAGATATTTTTCCTATTTAAAACTTGACACTTCTGTAGTTACATCGTGCACTAAGACAGACGGAAAATGTAAAGTTGCGATTTTCTAGGCTGATATGACTAGGAACTAGGGCTGTCAAATTTAGTCGTTTAGTCGACTAATCGGTCGATGCCGTCTTGGTCGACTGACAGTCTTATTGGTCGACCAGTTGCATTTTTTTTTTTTACCAATAGAAAGAATTTTTCAATGATTTACACTCGGGAACCGCACCTGTGGCCGGCTGCGCTGCTGCTTCGCGCTCGGTAAGGGATGCTGTATTCATTCAGTTAGAACGCTGCTTGTTTTGGCTTTAGTCGACAAAATGTCCAGGAAATCTAAATCTTTTGTCTGGCTGCATTTTAAAACAAAGACGACAAGACTGTGGAGGGAGGCGATCGCGTTGCTCCATTATGAGCGCGCAAGTCGCGCGTCTACATTTGAAATCGAACTTGAGCGCGCAAAAGACGTGAGCAGCCTTTTAACGGCTATATCATGCTGACTCAATAGATTGTGTTTTCTTAATGTTTTCGTTTTTATTTGTACACTTGACGCATTTGAAAATAGCCTAAATAATGCAACAAAACGAAAATAAACCTATACGCGGTCCTTTTTTGTGTGTTGTTTTTTAAAACGCCTTGATCGTCAGGACGAAAGTTAACCCATAGCTTTGAAAGTAAATAAGAATATAAAGCCTGTATAAACGAGAGCTTTTGTTAGGATTTTTCATTATGTGGCAGATAGCAGTTATATTTTTTGCAGCGTGTGGTGTGGTCAGGTGCGCGATTGTGACTGTTACTATAGACCTAGGACAGAGCTCTTCACGTTTTGCAGTTAAAAAATCACTTAATTTTCAAAGAATTGTATTGTTATTATAGTTGTATTTATTTGTGATGTTTTTCCGGTGTTGTTTTATAAATGCTCAATGACAATTGTTTAAAAAATGTTTAATCAAAACATCACTTTTTTTTTTTTTAGTCGACTAATCGTTGTGCAGGACAAGACTTTGGTCGGCTAAGGATTTTTTTGGTTGACTACAGCCCTACTAGGATCTATACTCTCATTCTTCAAACTTCACTGTCACTTTCAACTTTCATACAGCTGATTATTCTTGCACATTTTCCACTCTTCTTGCCACTTATTTAAAATATATCGGTTAATCTGAAATAGGAGAATAGAGAGCATTACATATCCTATGCAGTAGAGCAGTGTTCACACAGAGTGACACATCTCTCTCCAGGAGAAACCGATTATCCAGTCGAGTTAATAACCAGGCTCTCAGAGTGAGGACCTAATCATGCTCTCATACTGACAGCCAGGGGATTATGTCCCGCTCGCGTGTAGGTTGGGGACACGATGCTGTTGCATAATCAGAGAGCTAGAGGAGGGTCTCACCTGTCGCTGAGAACGGAGCCCTCTGCCTCAGGAGGGGCGATCGAGAGCTGGAAAGGGGTGTTGAAGTAATGCTGCTGTTCATCAGACCTGTGTACCACCTCTCCACCTCGAACCACCAGAAAGCCAGAGTCTCCTAGATTAGCTGTGTGTAGCCGGTGACTCTGCCTGTCTAGTACCACGATACACGCTGTACTGCTTCCTAAAGTAGAGAAAGATGCTTAATCAGTCACATGATAGGTCATTTAAAGTAGAGCCAGACCGATATATCGGCAGGCCGATATTAGACATTTTCCGAACTATTGGTATCGGCAGTTATAATGGCCAATAAATGAATATTTCAAAAATAAAATCAAAACGGACGAAACACGCTTGAACCATGTCATGAGTGTTGGAGTTGTATGGGAGTTGTATCTAACCCTAAAGCTCCATCAGGTGACCCAATGGTGTCCTAAAACTCCATCAGGTGATCCAATGGTGTCCTAAAACTCCATCAGGTGACCCAATCGTGTCCTAAAACTCCATCAGGTGAATCAATGGTGTCCTAAAACTCTATCAGGAGACCCAATGGTGTCCTAAAACTCCCATCAGGTGACCCAATGGTGTCCTAAAACTCCATCAGGTGACCCAATGGTGTCCTAAAACTCCATCAGGTGACCCAATGGTGTCCTAAAACTCCATCAGCTGACCCAATGGTGTCCTAAAACTCCATCAGGTGACCCAATGGTGTCCTAAAACTCCATCAGGTGACCCAATGGTGTCCTAAAACTCCATCAGCTGACCCAATGGTGTCCTAAAACTCCATCAGGTGACCCAATGGTGTCCTAAAACTCCATCAGCTGACCCAATGGTGTCCTAAAACTCCATCAGGTGACCCAATGGTGTCCTAAAACTCCATCAGGTGACCCAATCGTGTCCTAAAACTCCATCAGGAGACCCAATGGTGTCCTAAAACTCCATCAGGAGACCCAATGGTGTCCTAAAACTCCATCAGGTGACCCAATGGTGTCCTAAAACTCCATCAGGTGACCCAATGGTGTCCTAAAACTCCATCAGGCGACCCAATGGTGTCCTAAAACTCCATCAGGTGATCCAATGGTGTCCTAAAACTCCATCAGCTGACCCAATGGTGTCCTAAAACTCCATCAGCTGACCCAATGGTGTCCTAAAACTCCATCAGCTGACCCAATGGTGTCCTAAAACTCCATCAGCTGACCCAATGGTGTCCTAAAACTTCATCAGCTGACCCAATGGTGTCCTAAAACGGTGTGATAAATGCTGATGGCGTTCAAATGCGCATTAAGAATTGATTCTATAGTTATGTGCATTTCAATGCAGGGCTCCAGACTGCGACCAAATGGTCGCATTTTGCGACCAAATTTTGAGAGTGTGCGACTGAATTTTACATCCAGTCGCACATGTGCGACCAGTAAATTTGCCACACGTTAAACGCATGGTTAAGCGTGGAAGGGGCGCGTCAATGAATCCGTGACAAGAATCGCGCGCATAAACGTCTGTGGGAAAGAGACGGAGACAAATATCACAACCTGCTACGTGCGTCTGAGCAATAAGCGATCTATCGACTCGTTACCTAGCAGCAAATACAAACAAAATGAAAGTGGAACTAAAATACGATACTCGTGATTAGGACCGTCGAGCAGCAGCACCAGCGACCCGAACCACTGACAGTAAAAAAAAGCCCCGAACTTGCCAGTCGCGGGCCGATCTCGCTCACGTGACACTGTTAGGAGATCCAGTGAATGAATCCATTGAATTCGCTGCAGAATTAATAACATCAACACCACGAGATCCAGTGACAAACATTCCGATTCGGCGCAGAGTTCTGTTATAAACCATAAATAGTAAGTTATAAGTAAGTTATATAAGTTATCATATCAACAGCGCTGACGTGGAAACCAGGATAAACACTTATAGAAGGTTTTCAGTCCACTAAATCAGCAGCTCACCATGGATTTAGGCTAATGTTGTAACTTAACTCTAACCATAAATATGATAATGTGGAAGAAATAGTCAAACACTTACAAGTAGCCTACTACACATCTTTTTCTAGCACTTCAAAATCAAAACTATAATATCATATATAAATATTTTATTTTTTGTATTTTTTATGTGATGATCAACACATTTTTCGTTCATCCTTCAAAGATTGTCCTAAAATAAACATTTTTAAGATTTTTTAAGACTCTTATTTAAACATTTATTTAAAAAATAATAACACCATTGTAAACAGTAGGAATGTTTATTGGCTATTTTCACTCCATGTTTTCAAATTAATAGTTTTGTTTTATTTAATATTAGGCCTAAGACATTATAAATGATAACTAAAGTTAATTTCATCTACACCCTAGTGATTTATTGTCAGCCCCAGTGCTACTAGATTTTTTTTCTTTTTTTTTTTTTGTAGAACTCGGTGTGAGTTCTCAGTTGAGGTGGTGCTGCTTTCAAATTTGAGTCTGGAGCCCTGTGTACTTGAAATAAAACAGCATATCATAATGTTGAGTCTATTTATTATTGTAGAATTTGTCAGTATTACAGTTGTTTTGGGGGAAATTTGAATAATTGCTTTGCGAGCTGATTTAAGGTGTGCCCCTAAATTTTCTGAGTGTGCTCCTAAAATTTTCAGTCAGGGGCAACAGCGCTCCTAGTAAAAAAAGTTAGTCTGGAGCCCTGCAATGTGCACAGAAACAATTACATTAAGTTGACATAAAAACTGCCATTGCAAATTTAAATGTTTGTATCCAAGTAAAACATTTTCACTATTTTCAGTGTTTCTTGTACTAGCTTTGAAGTGGTGCAGATTTAATAACAAAATCCAATCTTGTGACCCAATACTCTGTCCGTGACTCATCTAGCCCACAGCGTGTTTGAGGGCAAAACACAGTACAAGTGACTCATTTCACTCCATTCCATTTTAGTTACGGCTTTGATCTTATCCTGAGAAAAAAAATGAGTCAAGGCCCTTTCCAAAAACATTTTGTTTCCCAGTCAGGAAAGATAAAACTTTACTCTTGAGTCTTGACTGTCCCAGAACATCCAGTCCTCAGTTTTATAACACATCAGTGTGTACTGTCTCACATGTCAGTGCATGCATAGTTAACATGCCATCGCACATGAACACCGTAGGTTAAGAATGTTAGTCTGACGCTTAAAGTTACTTTGTAGAAAACTGATCTTTAGTATGTAGCAAAAGATGACGAATTCTCCTGTTTACAGAAGCATATGAATGGAAGTGAACGGAACACAAAATTGAGCGACCGCACCTTAATTGAAGCCAGAGCGTAACGTCGAAGCCTCCAAAACACATTATGATCTAATGTCTCTACAGTTTTCATTTGAAAACTGGAAATACAGTTCAATGCAAATGCTTTTTCTGTCCAGCTCTCTCATTTTAACACTTTCATGTGTAGAGACTTCCATTGTACAGCATACTGCACACTTCTGTTTCTACTTATGAAATTAATTCACTTCATAATCCTAAAGCTGAATATGCTCACCTAAAAGCGGTACTTTGTTCTGAAGTAGCTCATAGTAGCTGGTGGTGAGGATTCCCACTGGGTTGCTTGGCACAAATCTCCCTTCTTTGACGAGTCGCTCACATGTCCTCATGAGCGTCCCAGAGAACTGAGAGGGGTCGACCCCATAGTCCCGCCAGCCACCCACTCCATCAGCCACACCTATAGGTGATACAACAGAAACATAATGATGGACAATGCCATTAGAGAGCTGCATTTTATAAATGCTTAACAAGCAACAACACAACTTCCAATTACTGTAATGTTTCTGTACAGCTATTTTACATCTACAAGAGAAATTCATAATTATTTTGAGCAAGGATGCATTAAATTGATCAGTAAAATGATTTTGATTTCCAAAAAATGCTGTTCTTTTTAACTTTCTATTCATCAAAGAATCCTGAAAATAAATGCATCACAAAAATATGAAGTGTTTTCAACACTGCTGATAAGAAATATTTCATCAGTATATTAGAATGATTTCTGAAGGATCATGTGACTGAAGACTGGAGTAATGATGCTGAAATTCAGCTTTGCATCACAGGAATGAAATAAAACCAAAAATAATGATTTATATAGACCATTTCACAAGATGTAAACAACACTGGTCCAGAAACACTTCCTGTTTCAGTTTGTAACTGTTTTCTTTATTTCACATGTAAAGAAAACATCTTAAAGATGTTTGTTTAACTTTTTGATTCAGTTTTAAATGTTCTGTTGGTTGTATTTTGTCCCAGCTTATATGTAGTGTTAAAAACTGAAACAGGAAGTGCTTCTGGACCAGTGTTGTTTACATCTTGTGAAATGGTCTATACTGATATTACAAAATATTATTGATTTTACTGTATTTTTCATTGAATATATGCAGCCTTGGTGAGCATAAGAAAATAAACAAATTTTACCGACCCCAAGCTTTTGAACGCTACACTCTTAGAAGAAAAGGTTCTATATAGAACCTTAAAAGGTTTATCAGCGCTACGTATTTGGAACCCCTAAAAGGTTCTATACAGAAGCCTTTTTAAGGGTTCAATAATAAGAACCCTTTAGGGTTCTTTGTAACCAGTAAAAAGGTTCTATATAGAATTATCATTTGTTTTGTCCTTTCCAGATTAAATATTTCATATTATTTACAAACATCAAGACCCTAAAATGTATTTATGAATGCATGTGAATGATCACAAAATTCAAGATGTATAGATATTTATATCATTTTATGTAGTTAGTCAATATCACACGAAGAGTGCCATTTCAGTTTTTCTCCTCCAAAAATCAGCATGATTAAAATGTGATATTAATGGTTTAATAAACAATAATTTAATTACAACTACAAAATGTTGCAGAATAATGTAATATATGAATGAATAATAGCCTATGTGCCAAAAGAGTTCTTTCTTGTCATTATAGAACCTTTTTAGCATAAAAGGTTCTTTGGAGTTGAGTAAAGAACCCTATTCTACATATGAAGAGTTCAGATGCAAAAGCCTCTAAATGCCATTTGAAATTTTCTTCTTTAATGATGATTTTTATCAAACTTGTATATTTAAGTTCAGTAATTTCACTTAAATGGCAATGATAATTACCTATTAATTGTTATTTAAGTGAAATTACTGAACTTAAATATACAAGTTTGATAAAAATCATCATTAAAGAAGAAAATTTAAAATGGCTGAACGATTAATTGCATTTGCGATAAAATCGCGATATGATGAAACGCGATTTTGTAATCGCAAGAGCTGCGATTACACTGGTCACTTGACACGCGAGAGAAGATAAAGCATCAACTTGCCACGCTACGCGGTCTGGCGTCCAGAAAAGAACAGTTTATTGTGTTATTTATTCTCTCCTCAACAATCCTGCATCGATTCAGAGAATTTCAGAATCGAGTCTGAGCTTAGTTTTTAAACACAGATGCGTAATGACGCTGCGCGTGCTTTAGAAACGAACCGTGTTCGGAATATGCTTGCTTCTATTTTCTCGCTCTCTCTCTTCCTCACTCACACACACGACACCGCTCGAACCTTCCAAAACATAGTAACGTTATTTTATAAAGGTCGGGGTTGAACCAAATTACAAGGACGTTCGCGGGCTTCATTGAACAGGTTTTGCCGCTTTGCTTGATGTTATAACGTTACACTTGCAGTGTGCGTTCTCTCCCGCAGGTATTTTCTTTACAAATGCTTCACAGAGGCATTATTTATGTATTTTGGAATGCAGTTGGCTTATATATTAAAACCATGAAAATCACTGAGAAGGCTGCTTTCATTTTAAAATACTAACGCGTGCTTTTTGAAGAGCGCTCGTGCATGCGGCCGTGAGCGACTCATTGGTAAATGTACTTGCATGTCAAAATGCTTTTATGACGCGAAATTGATGTAAACACGGTCAGTTATATCTTAAACCAACAGGACAAACCACATTTACAATTTCAAAAGAGATATATGCATTAGTGTGAATGCAGCTTATCGTATCTCTGAGGGGAAATCACTCCAACTCTTGAATGAAAAACATTCAGACAGCCTACTTTTAAATACTGAGACCACTCTTTGTTTATTGCTTGTAATGTTTTTTTTTTGTTTCTCTTTATTTACTAGCTTTTATATTTTGAAGCTATATTATTTTATATAGCCTATTTAAAATTCTTAACATGTAATTGGTTTAATTAGCCTAAATGTTTTTTTATATTTATTTTTTAAAGTATGTGTTTTTACACATGTAATTAAATACATATTTTAAGAGTTATTAAGATTAATTAATAAGAAAAAAAGTAGATCGGATCATGAGCTATCTAAAGATGCCCATCCCTACTGTACAATGATTTATTGCTTGTCTTTGTCGACTAACACAGAAGGTAAATAACTTTTTTTTAAATCGCATATTAAATCGCAATCGCAATATTGGTTAAAAAAATCGCAATTAGATTATTTTCCAAAATCGTTCAGCCCTACTAGCAAGTGTACATAAATACCCCAGGAGTCGAGTTTCCATCAAAGGATAACTATATTGTGGTACCATAATATAAAATTATTCATACTGTGATGTAATATTTTCATCAGCTAAGGTCAAACTGAATTTAGTAGGATTAAAAGGTGAGCAAGAGGTAACGTGAAGGTATCTGATGGGAAAACTTGTTGACCCACAAGCGAAAATGGACTGAAAAGTAAAAGTAGCCTAGTTAACAAGGAGGTGAACTGTATCTCTGTCCAATGACAAACTCAACCACAGGATTTCCCACTAAATAGTGTAGGGTAATAGCATTTCTAAGCTGCTATTTGAAGCACAATGGTTATGTTTAGTGATAGACTAATCAGTTGACCGTTTTGAGATTATTGTAATTGGATGACACCCATGGCCTGCATGATGAAAAGAGTAGGTTTAATTTAATTTCACTTTTTAGCCATTTTGTGCATGTTTACCATTGAAGACCCCACATCTGTCAACCACTAGTTGATTTGCAGACCAGTCTCGATTGTATATTAAGAAAGCAAACGTTAACTGCTTACACCCCACAAAGACGTAATGTGCACGGCGCATTTCCAAATCAGTCCAACAGACTGGGAATTTTCCCTATAAAGCCATCCCAGCTTCCTATCTGACAATGAGCAGGAACCCTGGTTCGTGACCATACAAGGCCAGTCCCCTCATCGACCTGCATCCTCTCGTGATCTAGCCTTAAAAGCACTGGGATTTCCAGAGATAGATTTGCTGGCTTGAAGCTTGAAAAGTCTTGGTTGTCGTTTCTTAGGCCATCAGAACCCTGCTCATGTGTTTGAGATGTAGGTTAATTTGACTGTGACATATAGCTGTCCGAGTAGGTCTTAGAAACATGTTAGCAGGTCTGAATTGTAGGCATACTCCTTGTGAGGACAAGGGCTAATCAGCTTCAACGTTGAAGGACTACTAAAACTCTTCAGAGACATTATTTGCTTGTAAAAAAAATAACTTTATTCCCAAGAGAAGTAAGAAGCAGTGTTAAACACTGTCAAGACTCAAGACAAAGACTGAAACCCAAGTCTGTGGCCCTCAGTGTTCATCTATTGTTTTGCACCCACATATTTCAGATGCACTTCCTTGTAACTAGACAATGACCTTTCTGTTACACTAAAACTAATCTGCACTCTTGTTAACCCCCAAAAGTTACCATTCTCGAGTTAGAGAGGTTACCAACAGGTCTATATGGTGGTTATGGAATAATGGTATGAAATATTATACCAATGCAAATGGTAGCTATATAACAGTTCAGTCACGTGGAGCACCAAACATTAGAAACCGGCTCCCACTCATTTTATTCTCTTTAATTGTTTGGTGACAGGTGAAGCAATTCTGGATTTATTTAGCATGCAGTAGTAAATGTACAACAAGCAACATATTCAAATACATTGTAAAGCAGTCAGTTAAACGTAATGTTTGCTCTTTTGAAACATGTCATTAAATTTGCCTGAAATTATGTTATTTAAGTTGATTTAATTTATTGATTTTTAAAATATAAGTATACACATTGCAAAGGCTTCGGTTTTTGTACCTACAACCCACCGATGTGCGACTGTTGTGACGTCAGAAGCGATTTAACCACGATGATACTCGCCTAAACCAGTTCTTACAAGCAAATTATCTTTGCATACAAAACAAAGATGCTTTAATGGTTTAGCGATAACATACCTAACACATCAGCAGATCTGTGCCGGGCTATAAAGCACGCGTCGTCACCATAACACATCCCTTTCTTCAAAATCCCCTTGCGAAAGTCCTTCCCGAAGCCGAAGCTGGCGGACACCAGGCTGTAGTCCCTGCTGTCGGTTTGCGAGAGTCCGCCGATGACCGCCCGGGCCACCAGTCGACCGTACGAGAGAACGGACAGCATCACCCGCGGTTAACGTTAGTTAGACTCGGTAACGTTACTAACAACAGATCCACGGCCCTTGATGACGTCTGGAGGTGTCACTCAAAAGCAACCGCATCCACAATGTTATTAAACGACCTTAGAACCGCATCAACTTTCAAAATCTCGCTGCCTTCACGAATCAATCACCGATCTTTCGCATTCAGCTCTCCATGGTGATCGATCTGATGTGATTCAGAACATCCAAGTCGAACCGGGTTTTATAAAACTCCTTTTGCTCGCGTTGAACCCCATCGTTGCGCGCTCGCGTGTCTGTTGCTCGTGCACTCTCTGAAGGCCGCGGCGCGCGACTGAAGTCTTATGACTGCTGTGACGTCAGACGCCGTTACGCAACAGTTTAATAGACCTTATTCAGAGCAGCGCCATGACAGGTATGAAAGTGAGGCTGTGAGGGATAGACTTACCATGTTTCCAATGGCATCCGCTGTAAAAAGCTGAATAAAGCTCATAGATTACTTACAATTTTCCACAGCTTACATTGTCGGGAGTTTTTTGTCAACTGACATTTCTTTGAAAGATATTTTTCCAGTGTTTCATGATCAGAACAATCCGAAAACACATTAAATAACAGTACAGCCCATTGAAGAGATGCAAGTCTATCCCTCACAGCCTCGCTTTCATTCTCATTAAAAATCAAAGATGGCGCTGCCGTGAATAAGGTGTGGGGACCATTGAAAGAATACACAGGCTTTTGAGTTTATAAAATACTAAACTGAACCCGGTTGCACTTGATAAATTACGTAGTTTTGAATGTATAATGTCAGGTGGAATAAGGATGTAATCACTCATAAGTAAAAAATAAAAATAAAAAATCCTTGGATATTCACACAGTGCACAAAGGATTTCAAACATTTTTAAAGTAAAGAATATTTTTCAAATATAATGTATTTTGACTCATGAATATTAATAAATGGGTTACTGTGTGTTTTTGTGGTGATGCAGATAAAAAAAACAACAACAAGCTATTTCTGTGTCTATTTCTGTATTGCTGCCTTTTTCTTGGTAAAATACAAATACATTAAGATTCCACTTGAAAAATTCAGATTCTGGTTATAAACAATCATATTTTATATAGTTTAATATGGATTCATGATTCAGAAATCAGAATAGAGTATTTTAGAAGTTATAGGCAATTTTGGAGGGGAAATGCATCTTAACAGCTTGAGCTTTCAGTCATTAGGAGAACATGGACTTCCTAACCAGTTTCTGCAGATTTCAGGACGTGTTGAACTTGGCTGAACCACTGATATGCCAAACTAGCATCAGTACTTTCAATTAAACCTGTCTTATGATGTTAGTAATGTGGTAGAAAAGGTCCCCTGGTTCCACAGAAAAGGCTTAGCATATACACTAAAATGCATGTTTGAGCTGAAAGCTCTTGCACTTCCATATTAAAATAAGACATGCCATTGTTTTGTCTCACAATGCACACCAGTAATGTTTTTTTAGACATATTTATAAAAGCTACTTACATGTTCTAATTGAACTATGCCTAATCATGCCTGTGAAACCAGGCCTAAGTCTGGTAGTTTTAATACTGAGGTTTGTGGTGTTATGAAACAGATGTGTTGACTTAAGGAAGTTTTTGCCGCCATCTAGCGGTCGTGCTGGCGCAGTACAGCTTTAGACAAATAACATGAATTAACGGACACAACACAACCCTATGGACACAAACCAGAATGCCATACTCCGATTATAAGGTTATGTCGTTTTTTTTTCTTTTTTCATAACTTATGTATTAAAAAAAGTGTCATCTGAATGTCGTCTTAATCTTAATGGTCCAATATGTAAGAATTTTGTAATAAAATATCCAAAAAACACTTGCACTGGTATATTTCCTGCTACAGTTGTGTACTTACAATATCCCAAAGTCTCCAAAGATATTTTATTTAAGAGAAATTCCAATTTTAAATAAGTGGCCGTCCCGGAAAAAATGTCGCCTGTCAATGACGCAATATCCGCGCTATCCTCGGTTTCCGCTCGTCCGTGAAGTAACCATGGCGACAGACTTGGACAACTGCGTAGTGCCAGAGCCCGTCTGAACGGAGAGCCTTCATATTAGCCCCATTGTGTATCATCTTGGTTGCAGTTCCATTAGAATTCCACTGGAGGTGATCGTGGGCGTGCGCACGGCTATGTGTCACCTGCTTGTCGTTAAATCAACATAGATTTTATTGTTGATTCTGCAAGTTCAATATAGGATATAGCCCAAAAAATATGAATAAGCGAGTACTTATGTCCTTTCGATGTCTTACGGGTTAGGCCATTGTTGGCCAGAACACGCTAACATTCTGCTATTGTGTGACGTCATCACATTTTTGAATATCGGTATAGAGCGATATGTGTTTTTTAATAAAACAGGGCTTAGTAGAAGGATGAGTTTAGTTGTCTTGGAAAGTTGCATTTAATGATAATGTATGAATATTAATAATGTTATTAGATATTTATGAAGTTATTTGGTTGTGATTTTGGATTTATTTATATATTAATTTCAAGGGTAGTGAGGAAAGGCTAGTGTGATCCACACTCCATATCAGAAGGTGGCGGTAATGAGCACTTAAAAGTTGTTTGCCAATGCCATTAAAAAAAGAAGAAGAATGTTTTTTTTTTTTTTTTTTATTGAATAACAAGAACAATAACATACACATACAAAGGATCACATAATATTACATTCATAACAGCATCAAAGAAACAATGGACAGAAGAAGAACGTTTATCGGCACGCAGTTCTCGTTTGTTTCAAACATAGACCACGGCAAGCAGACTTTGGGACAACAAGGAGAACTAAAATGAGGATCAATATCAGCGTGGCGTTTTTGAGATGCCGAGAGAGAGCTAGCATCCGAGACTGGACTCGACAGAACCTCACGAGTCACGACTTGACAGCCTTATTAGACAGGTGAGCAAATGTACATAAAACAAATCAATGTTTTATAACGTTAGCTTGACATGATGAAATGTTAGAATATGCTCAGTATGTTATTCTTATGTTGATCTAGCTGCTAACGTTAGTTTCGTATAGCAAACGAACTAACACGTAGAATAACATTATAACTTTCAGCACACATTTTAATGTAATTTAGTGTGATAGTGTAACGTTATACCAAGTGAAACAACGCTGTGTTACCTCACAAGTTTAATTAATCTAATAAACTGACCTGTGTGAGTAACCCAGCACTTGCGTGTAACCGGAAGTCGGCCATTTTGGAGGCACAGAACATAAACAATGCCATTGAACTGAACGGACTCGCAAATGTGGCTGATTATTTCTGCTGAAAAATGGTCAAGTTTTGGTCTGTACTAATCGGTCACTTCGGGAAAATACCTTTCGAGTTCTATAGACTGCCAAAAGTTAAAGAGAAAAGAGTGCAAAACACTGATGAAATAAGGCGTTTTCATCAGTGTTTTGTTTGATTTTGTTCCCATGCTGCTGAAATGACGTTAAAAAATAAATATTACATATTTTAGTAAATAATTAAGATTCTCTTCAATCTTTCTGTATCACTGACTTGTGCTATAACATTCAGTGTGCGTGCAAACTTGTTCATTGCAAATGCCGGGAAAGTCTAATATGTTGTTTCTTTTGACTTAATAAGTTGAAGCTTGTTTCAGTGCCAGTCTTTATAAATGAGTTTTAATTCACTGTTTTGTTCAGCTAGGTTAAAAACACCCAGTAGCCTTGCCCTTCTTTACTCCGTATAATAAACTCGTTCACCAAACCTTGCAAATCTTTGAAAGAGACTGTAAGAAGTGGGAGATCAGCCTGAGATGATCGCCACTGCAGAAGTTTGTGTAAAAATGTAACTTGACTTTCAGACTTTGAAAGGTTCAGGGTTGTGAAATAACAATAACACGAGAGACCTTGTAAGTCCACTACTTAGACAGTAGGTGGCAGTAAGGGCTTATGTTAGTTAGTCTCTCTTTACCAGTGTTTTTTTCTGTACCGCTTTTCTTCAGTGTCACTGAAAAGAAATAATATGAAACTTGAATGAGTTTGCTGTCTGTATTGAAGTTGATACAATATAAAAACCAAGTAATGGCAAGAAATGCACTTCGATTGAGAGATGCAGTCCGAATTATGAATATATAGGCATAATACAGTCTTCATTGTCACATGATCCTTTAAAAAAAAAAAAAAAAAAACTACTTTTATTCAGCTAGGATGTGTATATATATATATATATATATATATATATATATATATAAATTACTTAATGAAATATTTTTGTTTGAGTGTATCTTTATATTTACTTTGTTTATAGTAAATAACACTTGCTTTGCTGTTTTGCTATCTAATACAATGACATTCATAAGTTTATTAAGTTGAATTTTGTTTAAGTTTAGTAAGTTTAGTAAATTGATTTAACTGTCCAAATATTGTTTTGGGGCTGCTGTAAATTAAAATGATCAGAAATCAACATTAATATGCAAAGGTATAGGCTAATGAATAATTTTGCTGCATATGTTTTATTAGGCACTGTGTATCATCATAACCTAAATCACAAAACCAACTCTAAAATGCATTCTCATTTGGTTTAATAGTTCAATTCAGTGCTGGAAATGTTAGATTATAGTACATGGCAATATTATTTTGCACCATATATGCAGAACCACATCTGAGAACGTCATGATGTTTTTTTTGAGAGCTGTTGAAACAAGTGAGATATTCACTCTTGGTCCTTCTCCTCTCCATGTGTGATGATGTAGACCAGATTCTTATAGTCCAGATTACCAGCAGCGTCTGGAGGAAAAGCACTAAACATCTGCTCCATCTGAGGAAAGACGGAGCAAAAATACAGTATTATGGTGTTTTAATGGGTGGTTGTATTTTTACATATTATAAATTCACTATTTGTGTTCATAATCTATATAAAAACACATATAGACAGATTTTTATTTCTATATAATATGAATGCCATTGTGACATATCAGAACAGAGAGCTGAAGTGTGACAAAACAAATAATCTCAAGATGTCAAACCTCTTCTGGAGAAAATCTGTCCGCTTGCGTTGTCAACATCCCTGACAAACTGAGGAGAGACGAACTTCGGGTTAACCTTTTGAAATAATCGAATCACGTCTGGCAAACACTTCACACATGCTTGCAGACTGTATGGCATCTAGGGGTGCAACGGATCAAAAAACTCACGGATCGGATCGTTTTTCGGATCAGCAAAAAAAAAAAAAAAAAAAAAAAAAAAAAATTCCCCCAAAATAACTGTAATAGCCTACTGACAAATTCTTTAATAATAAATAGACTTAACATTATGATATTCTGTTTTATTTT